GTGCCTGATATGTCTAACTAGCACTTCAAAACCTCCAAGCAGTCGGTTTAGCATTACATAAGATATGTCAGCATCCTAACAAACAAGAAGCTGGCACCAGAGTCTGCGGCTAAATTACGACATCTCTGCTTTGAGCTTCTGCAGATTTGCAGGAAACGCAATTTATTCGGTTAAAAAAAACAAACAAACACAACGCTGGTGAAAAAATGGACCTGCGCAGCTGCGTGCAGGTGCACCGACCAGAGCTTTGCACTGTGTGCAAAGATGCAACCACCAGCATCTGGTTACATTAGGATCACATGACAAAAGCGGCTTTAATGATGCAGCGATGTAGATGCTAAGATTTCCCGCAGCTCTCGCTTCTCAGGAGAAAGAACCAAACGGTCCGGGGTCACACCAAAGCGGAGGGCCCCGAGCCGCTCTGTATCCAAGACAACAGATTTGGAGAATATCTGATGAAGTCACTCCGGCAGATTTCAATATTTTATCAGCGCAGCCGGAAGGCGCGCAGAAAACAACCCCAACAGAGGGAGCGCGTGAAGCCCGTGAAAGACCAAGACGCTTAGGGTCGAACCAAAGATGAAACTTTGCTGTTTGCTCCCCTGAAGCAACAGGCTGTTCGAGCTTACAGCACTTCTTCATCGCTGCTCTGGGAGAGCCGTGGAAAGAGCAGCAGGGGAGGAAATTTATGAATCAGCCTTTTGCCATTTTTGTTTTCTTTTGTAACTATTTTTCAACCACGACAATCCAAATTGTTCTGTGTTAGAAGCATTAGAAGCGCCCTCATTACTGAATTAGATAATGCATTATGCATATATTACCTCAGACTCATTTCTCCTTCAGATTACCTCATCTCTCCATCTGTGCCCCTTTCACTTCTGTACTCTGGCCTCCCTCTGCGCTGCTCCATCTCTCCTCTGTCCTCTCGCTGCTATGAACTCTCCACGCTTGTATGCTGCTAATAAACACTTGGCGATTTGAGCATACTCGGGGTGGCGGGGTTCACAGGAAGTGGTGTGATTTGTTTGGGGGAGATGAAACTGTAATAGTTTGTTTTGGTGTAGTTTCACGTGAGCTCGCAAACACACTGCTGGATTGTCATTCAGCAAAAAAAAAAACCAAGAAAAAGGAAAAACAAACGTCACGCTGACACACCAGCGTAAATAAAACAGAAGTACGGCGTCGTCCCGTCAAACGCCGTCAACCTTCAGTCGGACAAAGTGCAGAGACATCTCTGACGTGATGGCACTTCACAAACGGCACGACAATTTATGACATCCCAGGAGAAACAAACACGCATGCAAAGTGACACAGGATGTGGTTAATAGTGAAATCACGTCTGTTCACACACACACACACACACACACTCTGGTTTATAGAAGCTCACACACACATACACGTGCACCCAAACAAACATCCAGAGTGTCCAACCTGTTGGGATGTGGTTGAGCGCCGATGTCTTCAGGACCTCGAGCGGCTGCTCCTTTCCCAGGATTCCCTCTGTGGGAGAGAGAGAACACTCCGCTTCAAATATGGTCCGCAACATTGAGACAAGCTTCCAGCGACAAACCTAATCGGGCAGTTTTTTAAAAGAAAAAAAGAAACAGAGCCACAGTGCAAACAAGCGGGCTTCAGGTCATCTGCGCTGTGGCCGGCGCGTGCAGCGGCAACGGTACCGACACCTGAGCGCGTTCCATTGGCCGGAGAGAGAAAGCGAGTGGTGAATGCGCGGAGGGTCTTCGCGACCGCGGGGGTGCTCGGAAAAGCTCTGAGGGGACGCCGAGGGGCGCGCGAGTTCAGCGTGCGAGAGGAGAGGAGAGGAGTTGGGGCTCGACTGATGCTGCCTGTGCTCAGCATAGCAAATGTGGCTGGCAGCAAGCAGCGGCGGCAGAGAGGGATGAGGGGGATGGTGGTGGCGGGGAGGTGGGGGGAGCGATGGAGAGGAGGAGAGGGAGGGAGGGAGAGAGGTAAAAATAGCTCACCCTTTTGTGTGTAACGGCACATGCAGGAGCACACACAGGCGCACACACACACAACACACATGCATACAGACACAAAGACACTCCTCTAATGTGCATGTGTGCGCATGTGTGTGTGTGTGTCTGTGTGTGTGTAGGCTGTAATTATAGTGGCAACATGAAAAGGCTTTTGTAGCTGCCGAGCCCTGGGAAGACATGGCTATAAAAAGCAGAGCCACGGAGAAGGGTAGTGGTGGAGGAGGAGGATGCATCAGGGGATGGAGGGGGTAAGAGGGGAGAGAGGTAGAGGGAAGCAGGGATGATGAGGCGATGGAAAGATGGAGGAAAAAGCAACGAAACGGCGAAACGAGAAAAAAAAACACTGACATTGAAATAGTGCATGCATTGCAACCGCACACAAACCTGCGACTACTGCTGCTGCATCCATCCTCTATATGTGTGTGTATTCATAGTAAACACGAGCACCTGAGCCATCTGTGTATAAATACATTTACATCTAAAAATCCTGAGCACAAGGCTCAAAAACATCTGAGGGGCACAAATATGCAATTATTCCTTTTGGACGCGAGATGAAAATCCATGTAAAATCCCTCCGGAGGCATCAAAAAGGAAAAAAAAGGAGAGGGAAACGGGCGAGCGTCTCGCTGTGCGTGATCTATTTCTGGAATTCTCTCTGGACCAGACGGGCACATACACACAGACGCACGCTCTTAATTAGCCTTGAAGCTGCAGGGATGCGTTTTGCGCTGATTATGTACGTGCATTCGTCTCGCGCCACCTTGCGCGAATTGATGCACCAGTACCCCCGAACCCTCCACCTTCAACCACCCTGTCCCCCCCAACAAGTGAGGGTTTGGGCGTGGGCTTGAGTGTCACATTTGGCCCTGTTGAAACAGATCTACACACACAGGTGACATTCAAATTCAAACTCCTGCAGACTTTATGTAAAGAGCGAGGAAATATTACAAGGTGGTCAAAGCCTCTCCAAAAACAAACCCGTCCGCATCGGTGAGAGCCGATATCCCCTGACGTTCCTTTTCAAATGAAACACACGCTGCTGCATTTTGCAATGGAAATGAGGTGCATCTGCCTGTGCATGACACCTGTGGCTTGGAGTAATTCTACGCCCTGCTTTTGCACAAATTGCTGGTGGGAGCTTTACATCTCCGACTTTTAAGTGTGGGGAATTGGTGGAGGGGTGCGCGTGTCGTTGTCTGTGGTTAGTTAGACAAAGCGTATAAGCTTTCAGCCCCAAACCGCAGGGTTGATACCCGACACTCACGTGGGGAGGAGGGAGCATAGGTGTGTGCTGGAGCACTGAAGAGGGAGAGTGGGACACACAGCAGTCGGAGAGCAACGTAATGAAGCGATAACCCGCCAAAGTAGTGCCCTATACCTTGGCGACAGGATCCATCAATCTTAAATGTAGCCTAGTTACACAGCAGAGCCCCCCCCAACACCTCAATGTAGCTCCTTCATATCTCCCTTTCTCCATTCCTCTCCATCCTTCCATCCTTCAGTTCCACTGGGTAAGAATCGGGAGACAGGGAGCCATAAATAGCTTCTTCTACCCTCAGGCAGAGAGTTAGTCGACTCAAGTTAGCGTAGCTGCATCAAAAATATGTTGTCATAGGGAATATAAATGGGTGGGGGGGGGGGGGGTGCAGGACTAACAAGCTTAGCAAAATGGTGAAGGGGCTCCGTCCGCCGCATCTCCCAGGAGAGACAAGAGGCAAACTTGACCCGGTCCTGGCAACGAGAGCATACTGTATGTTGACAGAGGCCTTTGTTATGCGGGAGAAAAGAGAATGAGACGTTTGTCTGCGCCGCTGTGGCATTTACAAAGCGAGACAGTGACTGAGAAAGAGAGGAAGGATGCTCCGGCCCTCATTACATTCAGCGCACTTCCGTTCTGGCTGCTCTGTCCAGGGTGACTCCAGCGAGCAAGGTGAACCCGACAGGAACAATACGATTAATCAAACACGCCTCTCCTTGAAGAGGCTTTTTCCTCTGGGTCGCAGATTCGCTTCCCAAGGGCACCGGCTGACGTCAGGGACCCCGATAAAAAGAGAATGAGTGACCCCTGCGTGAGCCCCGGCCAAGTTTGCGTCCTGCGGACGGTCAGAAAACAACCATCTGACCTTTCGTTTCAAGCTGGAAGACTTGGAAAAACAAGGCGGTCACACATCTTACATGTGACAGAAAAATCAGAAATGAGTTGGAAATTGGTCATTACGCTGCAGACGCGTGTCCAAAACGCTGTTTTGCTGTGCAACTTCCACAGACCATAAGGGCTTACGTGTGACTTACTTACGTGTGAGATATGTTCAAAAAAGCCGCACATTTAAGATAACGCGCCTGATTTAGAGAAAACCACCAACGCCACACGGTGAAGACCAACTGGTTTGCTTGCATCATAGCAAATAGCCCAGGCCAATTTGACTTCCACAGCAGTCAAAATCTTGAATACTTGAAGTCATGTTCAGTACGTGAAGGCCTGAATTCACTGTGCACCAAAAGCAAACAATGCCACAACATTCAACAGAGGGTTGTGACAACGAGCCTGTTGCCACTGCACACAACTGTACAAGAACGGTCCCATAAATTGGCCCTTTCACACTCCGTTTCGACTGTGGTGCATAATAATGATATTTGCCACTTCCTTCGACTAGGATCTCAAATATGAGAGTGCCAAATGTACATTCATAACACAACCTGGTTGGAACCAAGACAGCTGCCGGATTGCTGCTTGCTGTACTTTTACGATGTTTGAATTTGCAGCGTTTACCAAGCAGTAAAAGCATTCAGGGGTTCAGTAATGCACGTGCAACTTTCACATCTGTGAAGGCACCATTAATGCTGAATGATATAAATACAAGTTTTGGGGCATTTTAAAACAGAAAGGCCTCATCACTTCAGCAACATGTTTTACAACAGCATGGCTCGATTCACCCCAACATACATACTAAATCTACTGTGCAGTGAGGCAATGCGACACAAACAGAGCTGCAATCGACTTAAAAATCAACTTCAGCGAAAAATCCAGTCAACGCTGCTTTATGAAAATTTGGAAGACAATTAGAGCATCTTAAAAAATGGGGTGTATATTCCCCCAAAATAAAAAGACATTTTAAATAGAAGTAAAACTTTGTATTTTTCTGTTTTTGAATTCTTAGGTTTTTCTCAGAAATTCAGAATTCTGACATTTTCAGAAAAAAGTCATAAGTCAGACTTTTTTTTCAGAATTCCGACTTTTTCTGAGAATAACCTTTTCTCCGACATTATTCTCAGAATTCTGACTTTCTGGGGAAAAAACCCCCCAAAGAATTCTGAGGTAAGAATTTTGACTTTTCTCTCAGAGTTGTGAGAAACAAAACACACAAAAAAATCTCAAGCACAGGCTTTTGTTCAGTGGCCCTAATCCTCTTCCGTACAAATCCCTATCAACTGGGATTCTGATGCCAGTGATAAGCTTTTCGATATCATTTGAGAGCAGCTGTATGGTTGTATGGAGCTGCATGGTTCAACTTTACATTTATGGAGACAAAAAAACCCCAAAACAAAACGAGAAAGCTTGCAGAAAAGTGAGAGCTTCCCAATAAGTTATGAACATATGTTAAAACTCTGTAACTTGATTCCAGCGTTCGTCGAGCACGTCGTCGTCCTGCTGGCTGTTGAAGGCAAAAAGAGTTTCCAAAGCGTGCGCTGTTATTCGTTTATTTGGTGACAACAAAAGCAGACATTAGCCCGAATTAACCCACAAAACCTGAAAAGTGCAAATTATTTCAACTGACAGCGATCTTGCGTCCATCTTTAACATTCTCTACTTAATGGGCAGCCATGATGGTTGCTAGGAGATTTGTGATGCAACCGTAAAGCTTTGCTCGCTGGGCCTTACAACAGCAAACACCCACAGCATCAGAGCTCGCAGTTGCTCCGCACCTACCATGCACGCACATCTCGACTCTTTAAGCGCTCGTGTGCTTCGAATTCCGACAAAGATGATGCATTGATCCTCTTGCGTAACCGTAGTATTTCCTTGATGCCCTGGCCAGACATTTGTGCTTCGTGGCAAGCACTGTGGAGCACCATGTCAAAAGGCACAAGGATTGGGCTCCCAGGCAGCAGTGTAAACCGTAATTGCCGCTGACAGCATGCTGGCAGAACACAGTGTATCCCGTTTCTCAGCTGGGACTAGACAAAAGACGCGGGGACAAAAGATGCGTCCCTTCATTAGCTCATGTTCGCTCTGCACTGTCTTTGTCCTGCCACCAATTAAAACCGCAGCTTTTCTCATATGCTGAGACATCATCCTGCATAAATAGCATGTTTTAGGTGTTATTATTATTTTGGAGGAGGACAAGCATGGCTGCAGCAGCAGGATGCTGGTGAGGACACGGTGAACCTTTTGCATCCAGGCGAGTCAGACGCTGCACAAGAAACCCCCTGGGTTTGTCCTGGGATGGGACTCTCATGTTCAGCCAAGTTGGTGGCGCATGGGAGGACAGCGCTGACAGACCG